GGAGGCTACTCCACCCAAGACCCCTCCCCCCACCCCGTTTAGAATCCAGACAGCCCGTCTATTGGTATTCCCTGTCCGTCCTTCTCGGATGTTAGACTTCAGCTCCTCACAGACGGGATATGACACTGTGTAGCACAGTACCTCACCGACGTTTCGGAAGAACGCAGTGCCTGCATCTTCAGAGTCGAGGAAAAATCCAAGCAACCGGCAAGAAGAAGTCAGCAAGCAGATTGTTTCTTCCTGGTTGTTTAGCTTGCACTTCCACTCTGGAGGAGGAAATTCTTTCCTCCGAAACGTCGGTAAACTTCTACCGACTACACGGCGTCACATCTCGAAGGACAGAACCCTTCATATTTGGCATTTGTCAATTCATATGGCCGATTGGTTGGACAGCCCTGATGTATTGTACAGTACAGTTCACTATACGCTGCCCACAATCCGCCACTGGACATCACGTGAACAAACAGTGGAATCACAGCGCTGTGGGAAAGAAGCCAGTATGAGACCGGTTTACACTAGAGAAAACGACACTACGGGACATATGAACAGTGTGATCTTGTGGCTTGTAACGCCTTGTAGATGTGAGACAGCCCGACGTTTCGGAGGAACATATCACCATCTTCCAGGTCGAAGATTAAGAAAATCAAGAAACCAACCTAAGCTTGCAGCCCGTTTATGGTTGTTTATTTGCTTTAATCTTTGACCCTGAAGATGGAGGTGATATGTTCCTCCGAAACGTCGGGCTCTCTCCGGACTACACGGCTTTATAACCCTAATGTCTGTAGTTATCGAAGAGAGACGCTCAAATCCAACGATTCTATACATGTCTATTGCTTCCAATTTCTACCTGTGCTGCACCAACTGCTCTGGTTATATCCGACAAATGAATGGGATAGGATAATATTCTTTTTATTGCTAGTGGGGTGGGACTAAGTCCCTTGCACTGCGGCCACTTCTGGCCTATTGTACCAGCCCCAGATGATAGGTGAGGGTGATTGTGGAGTAATTGGTGGAATGAAGATTGGCAGGGGAAACCGAAGTACTCGGAGAAAACCCGCCCCAGCGCCACTTTGTCCACCACAATCCCACTTCACCTGACCCGGGATCGAACCCAGGCCGCCGCGGTGGGAAGCCAGCGACTAACCGCTTGAGCTATGGAGCGCCCTAGGATAATACTAAGTGTTGAACATACGTTCTTAAATACAGGGTGTTTGAGAAGTGGATGTCGAGGAGTATATTTGAACCTAACAGAAGGAAGTAATTTTCCTAATAAAGGGTTCCAAAATTTCAAATATTCAGATATTAGGCTGTTCAAATCAGGGGGGATAAAATTGGTGGGGCTTGTAGCATGCATGAGAGCTGTGATGGGAACACCTAAATTCAATAAATCATTTAGGAATACTAGACCGGGATGAAAGGACATTATTAAAATGCACCTAAGAGAATTATGGTGGACGCGTATTGGATTCATCTGGCTCAAGATAAGGATCAGTGACGGAATAGTGTGAAAACGGTGGACATCATTCGAGTACAGTGTAAAAGGCATAGAATTTCTTGGCTAACTGAGCGACTGCTAGCTTCTCAAAGAGGAGCTTATTAAATACAATTAATTTAGTGTGGCGGAGAGGATCAAGGTGGCTCAAAGACAAATTTTCTCTGGGCACTGCCCAGACAGATTTTTCCTGTCGGCCCATTTTCATTATCTTGAAAAAAAAAAATAATAAAAGGAGGCTTATGAGATCACCTTGCTGTTTTGTGTGTTTGTGAAGCCCCTATTTGTTTTCCGTTTTCTATACGGTCCGTGTAGTATCAAAGGAAAGTATTCGATTAGTTATTCCAACATAAAATTAAGCAAAACTAAGTTCCCTCCTTGTCGAAGCAACTAAAATTTATTTTCCCAAATTACGCACTTCACCATTAATGCAGAAAATTAAAATCCCGGGCCGGCCCCTGTCTCAAGGCAGTTCTTCTAACCATCCTAAAGCCTTCACTTTCACACTGCCAGTAACAGAAGGGCGAATGGGCGAAGCCTAGGAACCTTCTGACAAAGCGGTGCCACTTGTGCCCCAGCAATAAAATATCTCTCACTTCTATCATGATTTTTAACTTTAGCTACCCTTCCCAGAACTCCTTGTTTTTCTTCAGTTCATCCAGGAAAATGTCTGGATAGCACATTAAACTAAGTGGCAGCCGACTCCTTCCAAATCCCTTCCGCTTGACTATTCGCATTCATCCTACACGGTCTGAAACAGCGTCGTTAAATAAGCCACAAACATCCCACCCTTGTAAGAGGCCCCAGAGTGGAGTATATCTTATGGTATGTATGATCTTACCGACGTTTCGGAGAAAGATATGCCTTCATCATCAGGATGGAGTAGGCCAATCAAGCATCTCTTCCACCTAGATGATAGAAGCAGTACGTTCCTCCGAAACGTCTGTGAGCTTCTACTGGACTACAAGACGTTAAAACATCGCAGAAGATGTTACAACCATAAGAACCTCAAATCCAGCCAGCAAGCAGGGTTTGGGGGTGAAACAAAAAGGTAAGGGAAAACTACCCCTGTAACAGACCGTTGAGGCCCATAGGGTTGTGAGACGTCGAGGCTCCCACATTCTCTAGACAATCGCCTCATATATGGCGGTGAGGTTGTCAGTCTTACGCGCCGGCCGCCTTTTACCCTCAGAAAGATTCCTGGTACTCATTTCTGTTAGAGGCTGAGTCGACCCCGGGACCATAGTGCGGCTGGAAGGATTAGGTAAACTGAAAAATCCAATGAACTCTTCGGGAATTAGCTCCACAGCCTTCCAGCTTATAGCACAGTGCCTCAATCAACTACGCTACCGAATGTCGCAGAAGTTGGAAAGCTGCTGTTAGGGTACGGGGCACGAGGAGGCAGTGGCGGATCTCAGACTCACGTTACTGCGGCCGTTAAATAAATCTAGGGTAATGCGGTGCTTCTTCGTGACCCCCAGGGAAACCAAAAATAGCGCTACATTCCACAAGAACCTGTTAATAATAGCTCAGATAGGATTTGTTACACCTCTCACTGCGGTTCGGGCGTGAGCATTGCCAAATTCTGATGTATCCTCCGGGAGGGAAAGGAAAAATAAATCGGCACATTTTATTGTTGAAATAAGCAGGAGGAAGGGTCTGTCTGTCAGAATCAGTTTCCGCTGGACGGTCGTGTCGCTAGGGCCGACGGCGCCGGCCGCAACCGCCTGCGTCACACACGCGCCGAGGGGGAGTGCTGCCGAAACGGCGTTCCTACATTCTCCGCTTTCACTGTCTGCGCCACGCCAAAGGTATGTCGCGGACCTGCCTTGCATGCTGCCTGCATTTCAGGGGGGTCAAACATCGACTGGAACCAACAAGTACCACTGGCATGGAACGAACAGCGGGAATTGAAGAATATGGTATTCTGTGTTGTAACGCCGTTCGGTTTGGAGACATTCCGACGTTTCGGAAGAATATGTGGGCTCCATTTTCTGCAGAAACAGTCGATAAATCGAAGGGCTCAGTTTTCCGGCTCCCCCTTCTGGTCGTTTGGTTCATAATTCGACGTGTTCCTCCGAAACGTCGGTCTCCATCCGGATTACATGGCGGTACAATCCAGGAGACCATCCATTTAATGAGACAGTCTGTAGGACCTATGACGTGTTTCTGAGGCTGAGTCTACCAAAAGGCCATAGTGCGGCTGGAAGGATTAGGTGAACTGAAAAATGCAATGGTCCCATCGGGAATCGAACCCGCGACCTTCCGGTTTGAAACATAGTGCCTCAACCAACTACGTTACCACGTACTATCCTTTGGGATATAACTTCGTGTCAGGAATAATTTCACAGATTTTCGGAGGAAATTACTACCTCCATCTTCAGTGTCGAAGAGTAAGACCAACAGGCAAGAAGCAAGCAGCAAATAGAGTGCTCTGCTTCCTTCTTGCTATATCGGTATCTTATTGGATCCTGAAGATGGAGGCAATACGTTACTCGGAAATGCAGACTGTTGGCAGCCGTCGCTTGGAGAGGGTCAGATGTAGCCTCGTTAGTGCCGCAGTCCTACAGAACCTGCCCATTATTGTGACGTGGTTGCAATGAATACGAGGAAAATTAACCCTGATTATACGGTTAACAATGGCGAAAGATTCTACCTTAAAATTGATTCTAATTCGGCCTCTTCGGGTGTGAATACGGGATTAGCGTGCCGTCACAGATTCGGGGGGGGGGGGGGGGCGGCGCATTGACGGGGCATTACGGTACCTCCCTGG